AACCAACCTTTAATGAGCGAATTTGGCACAAACATCTAAGCAAACCGGGGGCAAAAATATGTGCAATTAGGCCCGAATCAGGAGGTATCTAGATATCCAGACCCGACCCGTGGCAGGTCGGATCCAGGTCGGATAATTTATCATGGGTCGTGGGTCGGAAAGTCGACCCAATGGATATGTATTTATTTGAAAAACATTAGAAATATTCGTTATTTTCATTATAAGACCAAAAAATGGTAAATGTAGTTAAATTGTTGGAGAAATTGAGGGTTTCACTAATTTATAATTTTGTTGTAGCTAAAATATGATGTAATAAAGGAAAATTTCATGTAATTTGACTAAGATTACGTGTAATTTAGGGAAAAACCAAGGGTTAAGAAAGCACTAGGCATAAGGCAAGCGTTGAGACTCTGCCTTGCACCTAGCATGCTTAGGCGTCGCCTAGGCGTGCCTAAGCTTTAGATGTAAACGTAGCAAAATATCTCACACTTGTCTAGAATCACAAGTTTATGAACCAATATCATCGCATCTACCTCTCATTTATAAACCTTGATCAACACTACATGGTAAAGTATAAAACATAGAGTGCAGATATGAGAAACGAAGAAGAAGTTGGAAAATAGCAGCGAAGAAGCGCTACAAAGAAAGAAGAAGTTACTCTAAAGATGGTTGTCTCTAACTCTAGCCTAGCGGCTTGAAACAATCAGGAGGGGGAGAATGAAAAGGAAGGATGGTCTTGATTTCTCTATAACCTAGTAGCATATCAAAAGGTAGAGGTGTTTTCCTTCTGAGTTGTGCCTAGACATCACTTTGAGGCACAACTCAATACTGACTAGGCGCGCTGAGGCCACAACATGATCGTGACGTCTTGTTCCCTGCTTTTGGCCAAGGCGATGTGTTTTCCTTCTGAGTTGTGCGTAGATGAGCTTATGTGAGTGCCAAGGCGCGCTTTTTAGAACCTTGGGAAGAACGGGTCGAGAATGGGGCGGTCAGGCAGGTCGGGTCGATGAGTGTACGTATGCCCGCCCTGCCCCATCTACGGGGCCGGTCGGACCCGCCCAAAACAGGCCAAACAGGTCGAGTAAAATGGATCAGGTCGAAATTGCCATCCCTACCCAAAACACGTCTTGTCAGTGAAGGTCGGTTTCTTACTTAGGAACCATGGATCTCTCCCGTGCTTTGTCGATGTGGGATTTGCCTAACAAGTTACAATAGAGTTTAGTTTGGTAGTATCCTACTCAGATAGCTGATGTTGTAGCTTCTTAGATTTTCCTTGATTTCAATGAAATCACGTCGATTTTTCTCAGCAAAATAAATAAACCGAGTTGAACTGAGGTTTACCCAAGTTTGAGCTAAGCTCATTATAGATGTACATGGCTCGGTTGAGTTTTTTTTTTATTTCTGAGTGATATCAATGGAGGATAATAGTTAAACTTACAATTCTACCTGGGACCCCTTAAAGACTCTAAAGAAGCCACCCCAAAAAATCAAAAGATTCTAGCTCTAAACGAGACAAAAGCAGTGCTTTACGTGCCACTCTATGGCCAGCACTGTTGGCGGACCTAGGTACCGCCCTAAACTCTATACAAAAAGACAAAGAGCTAAGGATCTGATGACACTCTCATAACACCGGACCACCAATCGAGTCTTCTATGACGCCTTGACGACCACTTCGTAATCACCTTCGACTATCACGCGAGTCAAGGATCTTAAGGCTACGATGGAGATAGCATCTCTAAAGGCTAGAAGCTCTTCCAGGCAAGGATTGACTATTCCTTGATGTTGCAGCCCGAACGCCAACACCACATGCCCATCTGACCCACGGATAACAAGCCTAGACGAACACCCGGTGGCACAAACAGCAGCGTCGAAGTTGATTTTCAAAAAGTCTTCTGGCGGAGGGACCCAAGTGGTGGTAGGATGGTTTGGGAGTAGAGAGCTGCGGGGTGGAGGAGGAAGGAGAAGATTGGAGACTTCAAGGACCTGGTTGTAGAACTTTCTGGCTAGGAAACGGACATGAGGTTGGTAAAATTCGAAGGTCATTTATTTCTAGACTTCCAGATTCTCCAAAGTAAACAGACTCATTGGAGAATGTGGAATGGGGAGGTCTCAGAGACCATGACATGTCGCCACCATAGACTAAAGTTAACAGTCTAGGCGGTCTCAATAAAGTTGTTCAATCCCACCAAAGTCCACAATCTGATGGCTAGTGGGCATCTGAATAATAAATGTTCAATGCTTTCTCGATGTTTCCAGCAGACAGGGCATCGGTTAAGGCAGTTTACTCCACGAGTTTGAAGGGCCGCTACTGTGGGAAGTATGACTTTGAAGCATTGTCATATGAAGAATTTCAGCTTAGGCGGGACTTGGATATTCCAAGTCTTTTTCCAAATAGGAAGGTCGATGATATGTACTATCGGTTTTCGAGCATTTTAACTACCAGATCAAATGAGTCATGGGTTGAATTATTGTAAATCCAAATCTACTCATTAATTTCAAGACCCTACGTATCACCGCCTTGTACAAAAGCGGGGAACGTATCACCGCCTCAAACAAAAGCGGGGAACCTATCACCGCTTTTGACCAAAGCGGGGAATGTATCCCGCTTTTGACAAAGGCGGGGAACGTATCCCCGCTTTTGACAAAGGCGGTGAAGGCATCCCCGCTGCGGTCAACAACAGTGATTGCCACCACGTTTTACATAGCCCTGGTAGGTGGAGAAGTAGGTAACATCTACCTAGCTATCACCGCTGTTGACTAAGGCGATGATGTGTTCACCGCCGTGGTCCAAAGCGGTGATTAGCTCTCATTTTTTCCTATAAAAACCCACCCCCACTTCCCTCCTGCTGCCAAACAGCAAATTAGTAAAAAAAATTTCGTTTTGTTAAGTCGTTTTCGCAGCTGGTTCCTCCGTAGTTTACTGCTCAAGAAACTCGTCGGGATTCGGTATGTTAGAATTATGTATTGTTTACATTTTGATGATGTGTTAGAATTAGGTATGTTAGAATTATATATTTAGATTAATTATGATATGATAGATGTTAGTTAGTTAGTACTGAATTTAGATTTATTTGTTTAGTTTTCTCATGATAGATCGGGATTGAGTATGTTATAAGTATGTATTTTTTACATGTTGATGTGTTAGTAATTATATGTCTGTATTTAGTGAATTGCGGTTATTGGAAAATATGTTATGATATATTTAGTTTAATTATGATATGATAGATGTAAGTTAGTTAGTTATGAATTTAGATGAATTTGTTTAGTTTTCTCATAATAGATCAATTAGTTGCATTTTATTATCGCTTTGGATGATATTGTTTTTGTATCCATAATGTACTAATTATATACTATACTTAATTATTATAAATTGCAGACATGGGTAAATTTAAGAAGTTTCGGCTTATTATTTATTGGAATGGTCGGGTGACAAACTCGAACATTGGGATCGACTATGAAAATGGCGAATCCAGTATGCTTACAATTGAGTCGAGATTCTCGTGGCAAGAACTCCATGACAGGTGTGCAGAAAGGACTTGTACGGGCGGGCAAATGAGAGTTCGTCAAATTACTTACCGGTATCCCAACATGAGTGCTGACGGAGTCATGTTCGAAAAAGTTGACATAAATGATGATGACGATGCGAACATGATGATACAGTTCATATCTGAGAACGGGGTGCGGCTTGCAGAGGTGTATGTCGAGACCGAGCCGGTCGGTGAAACTCATTCTCACCAGTATTCTTATGATGATGGTTTTGCAGGAGGGTATGGCTGGGGTGGTAGTTCAAGTAACTACGGAGCAGGTTCTTCTGCCGGAGGGTATGGTTGGGGAGGTACTTCAAGCAACTACGGAGGAGGTAGTTATGAAGGAGGTGTTGGGTGGGAAGAATACCTGCCACATGGTGGTGAGACTGCCGTCGATATCGTTCCCCCTGACGGTGATCAATGGCCTGCTTGGGGTCCAGAGTGGGGTGACATTGAAAACACCCTTCGATCTGGGCGTACTTCACATGACCAAGAAGGCGATGCTGGTTATGCTGGTAACGATGACCATCCTGAGCCGAGTTATCCATTCGCCTCCAGTGACGATGAAAGTGAGGAAGATTTGAGATCAGTCAGTGAGGAGGAAGATACGGACGATATCGACGAGATCGATGACAGTGAGGTGGCGTTCCGTCAGGCACCAACGCCTTACTACACAGAGGTTCCTGATCAATTTTTATATGGTCAGAACGATGCCCCTGACTTTCGGCCCATGCCTGTGTATAATCCGACTGCTAATTTGGAAGTGGGTATGGCGTTCACTTCGAAAGCCGATGTGCAAGACGCTTTTAGTGAAGAAGCCATGCGGCGTAACTTCGAATGGAAGGTAAAATATTCTGACAAGGGACAACTGCATGTCATTTGTAAGAATGCTGGAGAGGGTTGTATGTGGCAACTTCGTGCTGCATATATGAAGAGAAAGGGCGTCTGGGTCATGCGGACAGTAGAGAACAACCACAGTTGCTCCTCAACCATACTTTCACAGGATCACCGGCAACTGAAAGCAAAAAAAGTGGCAAGAACCATTAAGCACCTTATCGAGGCACAACCAGATATCAAGATAAAAGCTATCATGGCGGAGGTGAAGGATCGACACTCCTACACCATAAGGTATAAGAAGGCGTGGCATGGGAAGCAGAAGGCCATGGCTGAGGTCTACGGTGATTGGGATGACTCGTATGCTTTACTCCCCAGACTAATGTCCGCAATGGAGGAGTCCAACCCTGGGACGGTTTTCATGCCTTGGTACAACAACGTAGAAACTGAAGATCAAGTTCGAGTACAGAACGAGTTGATGTTTCATCGTCTGTTCTGGACATTCAAGCCATGCATTGACGGGTTTCCCTTCTGCATGCCAGTGATTCAGGTATATTACGGACTCAAAATATTGTACTATTTCATTACTTTACTAATTTCAATTTTTACTAACTCATTATTCATTTTTAACAGGTTGATGGAACTTTCCTTACTGGGAAGTATAAAGGAACTCTTCTTATTGCCACTGGGGTTGATGGAAATTTAAGTATTTTTCCCTTAGCATTTGCATTAGTTGAAGGGGAGAACAACCTAAGTTGGGCATGGTTCTTTGACCAGCTACACGCCCACGTCACACAAAGAATGGGTATTACAATTATATCAGATCGACATGCCGGGATTAAACACGCCGTCCGTGGTTTCCCGGACGAATGGGGATGGACATGGCGTTGGTGTATTCGTCACTTCCTAGCCAATTTCCAACACAAATTTGGCAAGAAGAAAGACATAAGAGATCAATTGTGGAGTGCAGGTAGTAATGTAATTCAGTGCTTGTTCATGGTTTATTGTTCAAATGAAATTTCTTATGACTTAATTATTAATTCTCCGGTTTTGTAGCGGTTGCACATCAACCAAAAAAGTACGAGCAGAAGATGAAGACGATCCGTCAAATACACCGGGCGGGAGCAGTATGGGCAGAAGGTCAAGATCTGCACATGTGGACATTTCACATGGACAACGGGGCTAGATTTGGAATTGCAACTACCAACCATGGCGAGAGCATAAATGGAGTCTACAAGAGCATTAGGGCAATGCCTGTATCTGTCCTAGTTGAGATGACATACTGGAAGGTAAACGAGTGGTTTGTGAAGAGGCGGGATGCTGCTATTGGGAGGGAGCGTGCTGGTCATTCAATAGCTAAGCATATATTTGATGGCATGCAGAAGATCGAAGAGAAATCAAGTAAGCACAGAGTTGTTCTGTTCAACCGCAATGAAGGTATTTTTGCTGTGCAAACAGGTATTTGGGGTGGAGGAAGACGTGGGCATAATCGTCAATCTGTTACTCTACACGTAGAAACGCGCACCGGAGAGTGTACATGCCAAAAGTATCAAAACAGAAGAGTACCTTGTTCACATGCAATGGCAGTAGCTAAGTCGATAACCCTCAGCGCTTACAGTTTGGTTAGTCCTTACTACACGGAACAGGCGATCAGGAACTCCTACTCGTCAAGTTTTAGCCCCCTGCCGGATGAAGCTTATTGGCCTGTAGACAATGGGAAGTTGATTATCTCATCGTTACACTTAAAGCGCACCAAAGGTCGTCCTAGGACCGAAAGGATTCACAATGAAATGGACCAATCACAACGTGCCCGACGGGGTCCAAAGCGTTGCTCAAAGTGCAGACAACCGGTCACATGCCTTGTATCCACTTATTTGACTTGTCGGGGAACAGAAACCCACCAACCAAGGCAATTAGGTATACACGTGCATACCGCTCCACCTGATCTTCAGGAGTATCCGGGCCTATATTAACCTCCAATTGGATGTGGTCAACAAGCCACGGGATCGATACTTGCCCCGCATTCAGTGGTGGATGCCCAACCCCTTCGACGGGCGTGGTGGTCGGCATGTTGAACCCCAGACGTTGCTGAATCAATGGCCCCCAACCATCTTCTGGTTTTCTCGAGTTGTCGATGATGGCATCTCCGGTGATCGGGAGCCCGGTGAGGATGGCAACATCTTTGAGGGTGATCGTCATTTCACCCTCGGGAAAGTGGAAGGTATGCAGCTCAGGGCGCCATCGCTCTGCCATTGCCGTCAGCAGATCGTTGTCAATATCAAGCCTTATAAAGTGCCTCAAATTGTGCAATCCCGCCCTCTCTAGATAGGGATGCAGTCGAGGATGCCAACGGGGCAATCGACATGTCCCTCGATGACTGATGGGAATAAGTGATTCCTACAAAACAAAAAACACAATATTGTCAGTCAATAGAAAGCAAAATAAAAACTTTAAAACTATTGAAATAATTTTAGTGTGTCTACCGGATTATTGTTCCAAATTGAACGAGAGCGATGTTGATCTTGCCCGGTTAAATACCTTCGATCCCTTGGGCCAGGATCGATATACAATCTAGGGTCGTATATCTCAGCACCCATCTATAAAAAAATATGAAATCAAATCAAATTAAATTTTAGCACCCATGTAAAAAAAAATCACAAAAGAATTAAATAAATTTACGTACTCTCAAAGCCTCTTCGTCCATTTTTTGCCGAAAAGCTAGCGAGAGTATCGACAAAACAACAAAACAAAAACTCTAGTAATTCTTTCTGATGCGGAAGATCGGACTTAGCCGCAACCACAGAGCATACTTAGAACGAAACTAGAGTGAAAAATGGAGGGAGAAAGAAGTATAAAGTGGTGGTGTGGTTTGGAATGAGGGGGGGATGGGTATTTATAGTGTTTGGGGCTGGGAAAAGTCCTGGCCAGTTATCACCGCCCCAAACAAACACAGTGCCATCACTGCGTCCAACAAAGGCGGTGATGGCACGGATAGGTGACGTGGCGGCTTCTGATGCGTCGGATTGTGGAGAAAAACCACAATCCGCGCATGACTGCATCGGACGGCAGCGGTGAAGGCGCGGGGTGGGGCGGATCGCTGACGTGGAAAGCGGGGCTATCACCGCTTTCGTCTTCAGCGGTGAAGTGCCCAGGCGCGTCCACGTCAGCGATCCGCGCCACTTCACCGCTTTTGGATCCAACGGTGAAGGCCTCACTGCTTCCCTCATCAACGGTCATGCCATCACTGTCGTCCTTGAAAGCGGTGATGGCATCACTGCTTTGGTCTAAAGCGGTGATAGCATCACTGCTTTTGTCAAAAGCGGTGATGTATCATCGTTTTAGACCAAAACGGTGATCAACATCACTGTCTTAGACAAAGACAGTGATGTTGAAACTGCTGTACTTTGGGAATTACTTTTATAAGTACTGTATTTTGGTAAATTTTTTTAATAATTGGTGTATTCTGGGATTTTTTCCGCCCCAAAAAGTCCATTCGCCTCATCTCTTCTCCTTGCGCTTCCTCCAGGTTCGTTTGTTCCAATTCATCCATTAATTGCTTCTTCAGCATGATAGTTGACTTCGTTAGCCATTCCAGCCACTCAACACCACATGCCTTTTCTTCCCTTGCTCTTCTTCCCCCATTGCTTGAAGCCACAAATTACAATTGAAAGTAAAGAAACTTCTGTCACAACCCATGCGAGGTTTCACCGACAAATTGATGGAGAACTACAGAGAATTTGAATTGTCTATGAATCGGAGAGACTACAATGTCAGCTGGTCACCCCATGCGCTGGCCATTTCAATCTGCGCCCGCGGGCTTTAGCGGTTCGTCCTTCTTCTTACCGACGAACGTAGTATTGTTGTTTGTGATGGTGGCGGTGTTAGGTTCGATTGAGATGGTGGAAAATGGGGGAGAGGAAGAGGTCATGGGGGTTTTGTTGACTTCTATGTCACGGCTTTTGCTGTGTTGGCAGCGGTGGTAGCTTTTGCTGTGGTGACGGCGGTATCAGTAGTAGTAGTAGGGCAATTAGAACGGCACATAGGTGGTGGAGGAGGACGGCTAGGTTGGTTATTTGGGTGATTATGAAAATTGAATTTTATTTTTACTAGTAATGACAAATGAGGTGAAAATTGTAAAACTTTAAATGTAAATTTTTTTTATTAATTTGTTAATAGCCATGTCACTCATTTAGCGGTCAATTATGAAGGTTGACTGCCACATCAACAAAAATTAATGGAGACTAACGAAGAGTGACCAAACAAGAACTGTTGAACTAATTTTAGTGACCATGAATGTAATTAAATATTTGTTGTGACCAAATATGAACGTTTTTAGTAAACCCAGTGACCAACCTTGCAATTTACCCATGGAATATATGTCATTTTCGATGTAAAATCAAAATGTCGTATCACAAGTCGGTTTGGGTAATCAACGGGTTATAAATGAGGTCCTACATCTTCAACCTAAAACCAAAGGTTACAAGGCTTCGACTAGAACTAGGGCTCGGAAAATAGACCAGACCGTTTGAAAAACCATGGACCAAACCAGACCGCACAGTTTGATCCGGACCATAGACCATGAAGAATGGTTTGGTCTGGTCCATGGTCTGTACTATATGAAGTTTTGATCTCTTGGTCTGGTCTAGTCTAGACCGCGGTTTACCGGGCCAAACTGTGGATCTAGCTGACTTTCCAATACATGTTAGTATCCCACTCGACCACTCTCCCAACTCCTCCAACAAGACTCAAGTCTCAATCTTAATTTTGAGAATCACGTCCCCTCCTTCACTGACAACCACATTTCACTAGAGAATAGAGACGATCGTGTCTTCATATGACATTATGTTAGTGTTTGTGACGTTATGGTGCGAGTTGGGATTCTTCGACTTTGTATCTTTGTTATTTACTAAGATATAAAGAGTTCAAATTATTCATGCATGTTGGATTTTATGTTTTAAGGCAAAAAACAAGTTTTTTCCTCGGTTATTGGTTAAATTTTTAGTGTGGTTGACTTAACAAAGTGTTCATTTTTTGTTCAATGTGGTCTGTTTGGACCAGACCGTACCAGACCAAACCCCACACCGTCTATATGGTTTGATATAAACTAGACCGCACCGTTTTCCATCCCTAATTAGAACCTTTCCTACAATCAACGGCCAAGAATTGAATTTGCTCGAATATTACAAATGGGTCAGTTTATATTAAACGGTTGGTTCATTTTCAATTTTGTTTGTTAACCCCTAAGAGTATATACGAATATTCAATAAATCTCACTACTCACGGATTAGTTAGCCTAATAAGCAAACATTGTCATCTTAAGCATGGATGAATAATTTTGGACACTCAAATAAATTGGATAAATCTAACAGTGGAAATTCGGGGAGCCATTGCTCATCAGATGTTTGTGGCATGAATTAGCACGAAATATGATGAGTCTTAAGGCAATTAGTTTTCATTTCGCAACTGAGGAGCCTCAACTTTTAGAATGCATGATAAAACGAAGCAGTGATGACTATGAATTCATTGCCCAATTCGAAATCACCACCAAATGAATTCATAACAGATGCCAGAATTCAGTCTAATATAAGACAAACTATGTCTAACGATCAGAACGTGGCCGAAGCAGCATGATACAGTTGGTGCAGGTGCGCAAACTTCCATCACATTACAAAGTTAAGGCCAGAAGATGAAATTCACAAACTTCATACACTGCTAGTAGTTCTGGTTCTGCCAATGCACAACAGGCGTCCGTTGCTTCACAAAAAAGCCCAGATCTCTTACTTGCTTCTAAACCTCAGCTACCTCCGGGTTTGTCTTTGCTTTAACCGTTTAAATGCCATAAATGTGACAGCAGCAGATAGAGTATACCTGCATAAGATTCACAAAGCCAACAACCTTCGTCAAAACAAAGCTCCTGAACTTTCCATATGGATACAGGAAAAAAGCAAACAAGCTTATTAGTCAATTACCATGTGAATGAGTAATTGAGATGGTCTTGTGGCATGACTGAACTGCTAATCAAGGCAGTGACATCTTTTGGAACAGGGTATGGGCAACTCGGATTAACATTCTCATGGACGTCCTCTACATATATGATGTCATTTTCAGGAAGCCCACATGTGGCAGCAATTGCAGGAATGTCGACATAGAACCATTGCCCTGAGCTTGGATCATTTTCAGGAACGAAAATGCTTGGGTTTTCACTTCCTCGTACCACGCCAATTACTTCTACAGGATCCATGGAAAGTGGTTGAACCTGTATTGCAGAGCTGGATCAATAGTCTAGTCCAAGATAAATGGAAAAAACTAGAGAGGAATGGCAATTCAAGAGACACCTCACTAGCTTGTGGCTTCTTTGACCAGAACCGCCACCACCGTGAACCCCTTTGACTCTCTTGAGTTTTAGGGACTGCTGATACATCAGGGAACTGTTTAGTAGTATTGAGTGAAGCTTCTAGAGATCTTTCTTTCCAAATGCGTGGAACCCATCCTCTGTTGACTAGAATCGGCGACTTCACGCTGGGAAAACATACCATCTAACCCTTTTATTATGTAAAAGAGAAGCATGGAATTGACATAATAAAGAGATGTTTACCAAGTAGTAGTATCTTGGACCATATGGAAGGAAAAAAAATGAAAATTGGCCCAACTATTGAAACCGAGTTCATAAGAAAAGCTGCTAATTAGACATACCTCGTTGGGTCACCGGGAATGGGCATAAGGGGAGTAACCACATAGAAGCCATTTTCTGTCACTCCCGAAATACTTCTTGAACGTGGACCCACAAATATAGATCTATCTTCATCAAACACTCCTTTGCAGGAAACTCTTCTAAATTCCAGGGCGTCAAGTTGTTCTGATGGAGAGGGATCGTTCAACTTCATAGGTTCCAGTGCTAATCTCCTCTGCCTATGCTCAAGCACCTTTATCTGCATGCATATACAACTTTGAAATCATTAGTCAGGCAGCCAACAAAAATGTGTTATCAATCTTAACCTCCTAATTGCCCGATTGTAAACGTAAATTATCACATTATACTTCCTTAATGAATTGGAGAAAAGTACTGATCCAATATATGAATGAGATATAAGTGATTTTCAAACTGTTGCCTGCAAGGTTCATTTCTAGGATCTTCACGAAGAATAGCGTCATCATGATATAAAGAGAACAAAACAAGACGTTCTAAAAAATAAATCTTGAGCAAAATGACAAGCCTTGGAATTTGTTATCACTCCACAATAAAACTCGGAATTCTCTGCACATTTAAGTGTTTCCCCAGCTGCGGCAATTACCTGATTCATAACACTCTAATATGTTTACCAGCTTACAAGCAAACAGCAGACAAAAGTCTCAATCATCCGTTAGCAAATGTTCATAGTCCTTTTATTCCTAGTGACCTACAGTCAATCTTATCACACTCTAAATGATCTATAAGAGAAATCATAAAAAGTGAAACGTAACTTTCCAAATGTGTTTCTTAGCAAGAAATCAATTTTTGTAGCAATTTGATAAGCAAAAACATGTTTAGATAGATGTCAATGCCTGAAAGTTGTCTAGTAGATGATGACTGTGGTACTGATAGTTATCACATGAAGATCAAAGATAGAGACAGAATGATTGACAAAGAAAGGATTCCCAAGAGCACCAGTAGTCAAAATATACAGACACAAAAGCCATCCATAAGCCTCCATAATGCAGTACATTACATCTCAGATGCAATCACATGGGGTTCAGAATCAAACTTTTACCTCATTGTGCCAATCAGAAACCCAGGCTAGCTACTTAACCAATGACTGGAAAACTATGATATACAATTTGACGCTTGTTGAGAACCCGGCACGAGGCCGGCCAAGTACTTCAAGAAGATCAGTAACCAGCGATAATAAGCTTCCGAGTGTAAAGGCGATTCTCAAATTGAAATGAAGCACGGGATTCCTAACATACACTTTTGTCATTCCCACACGAGCAATGGCTCAGAACCAAAAATCTTAGGGATTCAGCCTAGCCTATCAAAGTAAAACTGCAGCACCAAGAAAGCATCAATTGACAATTACAGTGCAGAAGGATCATCCCAACTTCAACGCCAAATGAAATCAACAATTACTGGCTAAACTTAACGATGAAACAGAAGCTAAAGAGGCAAGTACCTTCTCCTCTCTTCTGAAGATCTGCCAAGTGCCAAGGCCAAAAGTAATCGTTCCAGGAAGAAAAAGCAACCATCTTGACCACGACGACCCGCTCCTCGGTTGCTCTGCCACATAAATTTCCAGCTTCAGAATTACGCCATCGACAACCAATCCAGAGATATATACACAAAAGAAATGACGACAAGAAAGTGAAGCCCGGAAAACCTTGAGGTCGAGGAGAGGGATTCGGCTCTACAGGGGGCGGAAGATCAAGAACCGCAGCAGAAGCAGTGCTGTAGCGCGACGAAGATGATGGGGAAGAGGAAGAGATGATGCGGCGGGAACCTCTCAAGAGAAATGCGTTTGTTAGGGTTTTAGAAATTGAAGCTATCCCCATAGCCATCTTGATTCGCACATTCGAGTTTCGTTTTCCGCGGAAAGAATCGGACTTCCGGCGTCCGGATTTCTTGCTGTTCAGACGTCCGGCGAAAACCAGGGAGGTTTTGTTTCTTGCGGAAAAGTTAAACTGCTCACAGGGTATTTTGTGAGTAGATACTCACTGACCCATGAACCGAGAGGAGAGAGAAAAAGGCCACTTTTTGGGCGAGCTGATAATTTGGGCAGATTTTGGGCGACCCGAAATTTTGGGTGGGAGGTGGGCAGCTTTTTGGGCGGCCCGAAATTTTGGGCGGGAAGTTGGAAAAAGATGGAACTAAGTTGGGTCTGGTGGGGGCGGCCCGAAATTTTGGGCGGGAAGTTGAATATGAAGGAACAATACGGGTCTGGTGGCTTGCAGCCTAGTAAGGGCTGCCCGCCGAGGGCCCATGGGCCGAAGGCTCATAAAACTGTTTTTTGGGCAGATATTGACATGACCTGACAGGATATGTTTTTGTAAAAGGACGAATATTGGTATGACATTATGAGATACTAGTCTGGGTTTTACAGATATTTGTTGACATGTGTTGGCACAATATCAATTCCTAATTCTCTTAAGTTTTTTCGACACTCGTTCAGTTATGCATTGTCATTAATAGTTGTCTTGTGCAGAGATGTTTGTAGGTTTTCGTCGTCGATAGTGTTCCTTATGGTTGAGAGATCAATTCACAGTCGGGATGTTGACTACGCAAGCCAGCGAGTCGTGCAATGCACAAGTGCGACTTTTCTTGAAAATGATTTGGAGCGTTGTCTGGATATTTATATACTATTGTTAAATATTACTTTGTTTAGTTGGGATATTAGTATTGGTTTGAGTGGATATTAGTCTGGGCACTAAACTCTTTCTCGTGCTTTGTAAATGTAGTTTGTTGGCTGAAAAAGACGCAAGGAGATTGAGTCAGACTACAATGGGAAACAATCGGTTCCTTATATTATGATGGAGGATAGCATTCAATCGGATACAAAATCAGTATTTGAAAACTGAACCTTATCTAAAGGTCTTTACTCCTTGTGCACGTACTTGCGCTGCGACTTCAGCATCTTCTTCTTCCTCATCCTCCTCTGGTTGTGGCGGTGGTGACGGAAGTGGATTTCGTCGCTGTCTCTTCACGTTCGTTTTATCCCTGCACGTACAAATATCCAGATATATCAAACAATTATCCAGGCAATTCACAACAGATATCATGTTGGTTAAAAACCAATATCCAGATATATCAAACAAGAGCTCATCTAGTATGCTATAAAGTATTGATACTTTAATATGTTTGAGGCCATTGGTTCTTTGTTAAGAATATCAGCCATTGGATTTGATTTAATTTATTTATTTTTCATTTTTGGTCCTGGTAACCGGTTGCACCGGTTAATATCTCATCGCCCTCATCGCCTGGCTCGCACCGCAGACCAGAACGACCTTTGTTTTCAGCGAAACGATGTAGTGAGTGACGCCGTCGAGGAATCGGAGGCGGAGGACGGCGTACTTTGACGCGAAGGAAGCGTTGGGGTGTTGAAGAAGAGGATTTTCCTCTGTTTCTCGTATCCAGAGCAACGAGCAGGTCTGTAAAATTAAATTCTCTCATTGGCTCTGTTTTTCCCTTTATGTATCCAAACTTGCCTTTGTACCGTTCTCTGAGTCGGCTACATGGGTGTTTTCCACTTATTTCTTCGGAAACGATCCGATCCCCCGTCCTCACTTTCATAAACTGGCAGACGTGTTAGGCTGTCTAGTTTTTTAAATTGGGTTGGCTTTGGAATTGAAAACAAAGAGCTATGCTCTGTTTCAAAAACTTCCGGTGACAGAGGAGAAGAAAACAGAGGACAAAAAATGGAGTTTTCTTTCTTCTTTTGAGCGATGAATTTCGTTTGTATAAAGCTAAGGCTTTTAATCCTTTCTCAAATTTATCACAGTGGGAGTGATGGAAAGCACAAGAAGAGAAGATGGTTCTGACAAACGAATCAGTCTTCAATTGTGACAACTCAATCTTTCGCCTCTGATTTTCAATTCTCACAGGGTATTCTTGGCCACAACTCGGGAAGCCTGATTTCTCCGCCAGTTTCATCTCCAGCGAGAGAGGCGATCCTGGTGGCGTCTTTGAGCTCAGAGCACGCTAATGCCCAGAGGAATGCGTTTGGACGATTTCGGCAGCACTCGAAGTAAGGTTCGGGATTTTTCAGGCTAGTCACGAGAGGGTATAGAGGTTTGACGACTAGATGGACAATTTTAAGGCCTAGGGTGGGATGATTTTGGTATTGGGGGCAGTTCGGTTTATCGAAAATCGAGATAACTAAAGTCTAAAAGCCTCTTTCGGTCGGTGATCGATAGGTGTAGGAGGTGGTTCGGATTAACCGATAACTGACCAAATCTCTCTATGGTACAACTCAAATTTATCTCAAATTTATCACTAATGGTACAACTTTTAGTTGTACCTACACTTTCTCAAAATCCTTCTATGGTACAACTCAAATTTGTACCTATACCATAGTACAACTTTAAGTTGTACCTACACTTTCTAAAAATCCTTCTATGGTACAACTTATATTTGTACCTATACCATGGTACAACTTTAACTTGTACCTACACTTTCTAACAAATCTCTTTATGGTACAACTAAAAATTGTACCTATACTAATGGTACAACCTTAAGTTGTACCTACACTTTCTAACAAATCCCTTTATGGTACAACTAAAAATTGTACCTATACTAATGGTACAACCTTAAGTTGTACCTACACTTTCTCAAAATTCTTTTATGGTAAAACCCAAACTTGTACCTATAACATAGTACAATTTTAAGTTGTACCTACACTTTCTAATAAATCTCTTTATGGTACAACTCAAAATTGTACCTATACTAATGGTACAACTTTAAGTTGTACCTACTGTTTCTAATAAATCTCTTTATGGTACAACTCAAAATTGTACATATACTAATGGTACAACTAAACTTGTATGGTACAACCCAAACTTGTACCTATACCATGGTGCAACTTTAAGTTGTACCTACACTTTCTAAAAATCCTTTTATGGTACAACCCAAACTTGTACCTATACCATGGTACAAATTTAAGTTGTATCTACACTTTCTAACAATTCCCTTTATGGTACAACTAAAAATTGTACCTATACTAATGGTACAACTTTAAGTTGTACCTACACTTTCTCAAAATTCTTTTATGGTACAACCCAAACTTGTACCTATAACATGGTACAATTTTAAGTTGTACCTACACTTTCTAATAAATCCCTTCATGGTACAACTCAAAATTGTACATAAAGTTGTACCTACACTTTGTGAAACAAATTCTTCAATGGTACAGCTGAAACTTGTACCTATACGATATGGTACAACTCTAATTTGTACCTACACTTGTATACATTGATTCATTATTTACAAGATTGCCATTAATGATGTGGGACCAGTCATTTAGTGGGTTTACCTCCTCAACAGGTCACCTTTTTTTTTTGTTTTTTATAGCATGGGTGCTATAGAGCATACTAGAAGGGCTCATCAAACAATTATCCAGGGAAATCACAACTGATATCATGCTGGCCAAAAACCAATATCCAGATATATCAAACAATTATCCAGACAAGTCACAACTGATATCATGCTGATCAAAAACCAATATCCAGATATATCAAACAATTATCCAGGCAACTCACAAATGATATCATGCTGATCAAAAACCAATATCCAGATATATCAAACAATTATCCAGGCAAGTTACAAATGATATCATGCTGTTAAAAACCAATATCCAGATATATCAAACAATTATCCAGGCAAGTCACAACTGATATCATGCTGATTAAAAACCAATATCGAGATATATCAAACAATTATCCAGGCAAGTCAGAACCCATATCATGTTGAGTAAAAACCAATATCCAGATATATCAAAGAAACAATCCAAGCAAAAAACAATGGATATCCAGAATCAAAATAAATAATATCGGAACGCACACAAAACAGATTATAACATGTAGCAGAGATTTAGAGTGCACCGAAATATGTACCTCGTCTTGCTTTGACCTCGAGCTGCTCCTTGTGCAGCTCCTCTGGCTGTGGCGGTGGTGATGGCTGTCGTGGAGTCGGTCGCTGTTTCCTCTCGGTTGTTTTAGTCCTTGCCATTGATAAATCTCTGCACATACAAATACCCAGATCCTATCAAACAACTATCCAAGAAAGTCATAACTGATATCATGCTCAAACAAAACCAATATCAAGATACATCAAACAACAACCCAGGCAACAAACAACGAATATCCAGAAGGAACAGAATGCATATCTTGCCGAACAGAACAAATATCGGAAGGAACACAAAGTATAAATAAGACAGTTACCTTAGTCCAAATGGTAGTTCTTTCTTCAACGACCGCCGTCAAACCAAGCTTCGTCGCCCTTCGTCGCCGCCGATTCGTCTGCAAAGTCGCCGCCGTCAACACAAGCCTTCGTCGCCGCCGTCAACACAAGCCTTCGTCGCCGCTGAAATCCCGCCCTTCGTCGCGGCCGAAATTCCGCTTCGCTCGCCGCCGCTTTGCTGGTCCGTCGCCGACGCTTCGCTGCTTCTTCGTCGTTTTCGTGAGAGGAGGAAAGTGAGAGAGAGGGGAAAAGCGGGAGAGAGGGGAAGTCGAAGTGGTTCTGGCGGAGAAACTGAATTGGGGAAAGAATAGGTTTGATTTTTTATTTTTGAATTTGTGGGCCCGGTGGGCTTGGTCAACCGTGGGTTCGGCCAGCCGACCCAAACCGACTCACCTTCTCAACCCAAACCGGCGCCATCTTACTCTCGCCCACGTGGACAATAGATCCACCGTGTGAGTATCTACTCACACTTTATTCTGTGAGCAGCATAACTAAATTGTGTTTCTTGCTGTTCAGGGTTCAACGAGAAGAATGAACAAAAGGGAAGAGAGAGTCAGACTGAGAACCGCGAGGGGATAATAAGTACCAATTGGTCACCGATGTTTCATGTGAGTGAGTAACTAGTCATTCTTCCTTTTCCAATAAGCAGATATGTCACTCATTGGTTTTATTTATACATGTAAGTTTGTAGCAAGTAGCAACCACTTCCTCTCCACAACATATAACCCATAGAAAGTCACAAGTCATGACCCATATCTTGTAAAACGGGAATCATTGAAGGGCAATGCATAGTGAATGTTAAATAGGACATCACTTTGATCATGTGATTGGATAGTTTGGATAGTTTGTAGATCATTTCGTAGTTTTTAGTGAGTGATATTATACATCTGGTGCATCATTTTTTTTTATATTCACATTAAACACTACATGTATATTTAAACTCCACTTTTTCAATTATCAAAACAGCTCGATAAAATTCGAATGGACTTCAACTTTCGATTCTGTCACTGGATTCTCTCTCAAATTATCCTAACAACCCAACGCATGTTCCCTTGACATACGAAAGACACTAAGTTACTACTACGTTAATAATGCATTTTTATACACGCTTGGACCTATTTGAATTCAAAAGAAAAATATTTTATAAAATTAAGACACCTAGATACTAATACGAAATTTTGATGATTAAACTAATTAATAACTCGTGACTAAATATCACCTATGCTAGCAAATTGAATAATCGTTGAAAAAATCATCAATACTCCCAAGTATGATCAATGATTAATTCGTGATTGAAATTTCATGTAATTACAACTTACAAAACCACCCTCCCTATGAATCTTTTTATCCCCCACTTTCCACTAGTCAAGAAATTACATCGAGAAATAAAAGCCCAATGTGCCCCTTTTTCTTGGTCCCTCTTATATTTTTTGGGCCTAGAAAATTAATTTAGAGTTAGAAGGTTCAAGCCCACTAGCACGGTGACAGTGAGAACAAGCCCTCTCAAATTAGATTTGTTCCCGCCAAAAGTAGTTACTGTTGCGCCACTCGATTCTTTCTTGTCGTCGCTTGAAGATGATGACGAGCTATCAGCGGCTGCATCATGACCGCTACCACCAGAACCTGCAAATTTATATTTATTCAAAGGTTAATGAAGTATTTATTGAAACTTTGAGTGACGTGAAGAAACGATTTAATAAATGTCAAAAGACGATAAACACAAGTTGTTACTCCGACAACTCGAAATAGAATGAATAAAAAAAAAACGAAATAATTATAGAATGAAACTCATGCTCCATTCCACGCTTCTATTGTTCATGTATAACCAAACAAATCGAAACAGATCGAACAACGCATATCTCACCGGAAATTGACATTACTAAGATCTTTTGAGCCACATTGAAACAGTTAACTTTGGATCATTATGAATATACTTAAGAGAGTAGATTAATGATACTCACTCTCCAATGAAATTGGAGGCAACGAGATGGTCGCAGCAGCACTACCAGACCCACTTGGCGCATCCGCTGGAAAATAGTAAGAACAAAATAATACGTCATCTCAACATAAACAACTAATAGTAAGTAAATTCGATAAATAAATCATAATTATAATTAATTGAATTGATTTTCCGTAGTTGCCATCGAATTCTAAACAAATGGATTGGCATATCAAGGCTAATAGATGAAGACATTGATATTCCAGTATAATCTAATTGTTCTGCCGCTGTTAGAAATAAATTAATACTTTCAAAGTGCGTGCGTTCGTATCAACGGGTTGTATCGATCCATCGGCATATCCTCCGTAACTAGAACGAATTAATCTATGTTTAATACGGATTAATTTTTGTAAATGGAAACAGAGGAGGTACTTACCGGCATCGTTCTTGCAGCCGGACAAATCAGGCTTGGCGCCGCACGTGGCGGCGAGGGCGAGCGCGTCGTTCATCGTGATGTTGACGGAGTGGAGCAAATCCTCGCTGTTGAAGATGCAGACGCAGCCTTGGGTGTCGTTGGTCGCGATTTCGGTGAGCGGATCGCAGCAGGAGGAAGGCGGCGTGCCTTGGAAATGCATGAACTCCTTGCACGGCGACAATTTCTCAAGGCACTTGGCCTTCCCCGGGTGCGCCAGCAGCGCCATTCCGCTGCGCAGCGCGTCCGACGACGACGACGACGATTCCCCGCTCTCGTTCATCGACTTGGAAATCGCGTTGCCGTAGCTCTGCATCAATTCGTCCAGGTTCTGGCACTTCCCAATCGAAATCAGAGAACAGAAGAAGAAGAAGAACAATAAGGCGACGAAAACGATTGGCAATGCATCGTGGCCAGACCGCCGCGTCGTCATTTCTCCGAATTGGATTCGGTGATCGGTTGGAATGGGCAAACAAAGATTCTGATGGGAGAGAAGCTAAGAGCAAGAACAATCAAAATTGAAGAATTAATTTTATTGTTTTTTTTTTTTTTTGGGTTAGGAATTATTATGGAAGAGAAAACAAATGTTTTTGTTTTGGAAAAATTTCTCTTCAATTCTGAAAGAAAGAAAAGGAAGGATTATTTATATTCGTTTCAGGTATTTATTTCACAGCATTTTCTTTTTCTTTACTCGTTAGTTCATTAATAATTGATTTTTCCTTTCGATGTTTACTGTTTGCTGTTATTCGTTTGGCGGGTCGGGTCAACTGAACTTGGGCAGGGAGAGATGTTTGAACTTTGAAGGGAGAAGACTGACCAGAACAGCGTGTCATGACTCGTTTGATCGCACTTTTTTGTGTAGCATTTGCTTATAAAATCATCTTCGCACACATCCAACGACTATGAATTGTATGATGATGTTTTCGTACTGTATTAATTTTTCCATCCATATTTGCAGCACGTTGTACCGAAAAGGTTGTCTTTTTAGTGTTGTGGCTTGTGAGTCCGTCGATCGAATGATCCTCACACAAAAAGTTTTTCATTAAAATGTAAACTGATACAATCAGCAGGACTCACTATCTCAAGGAAATAACAGCAATCAGAGGCAAGCTACCTTTCGCTTCCACGGCTATCATTTGGAGTCTATGAAACAAGAACGAGAGTCGAATTGTCACGTATTGAAGTTCCACGCAAGGTACGAAGTCTGAACTTAACTTAAGCAGCAGCATGCTGTTGAAGCTTCCTTTCAAGTCCATTTTTATCAGCACCAACGACCTGGTCGATTTCCTTGCCTTTCCTGATGAAGAAGAAGGTAGGCACGCTGCTTATATTCCACCTCCCTGCCACGTCCCTGGCCTCGTCGATGTCAGCTTTCAGGAAAGCAACCTTCGGATACTTCTCAGCTAAGCTTGTAAAAAGAGGAGAGATGACACGGCAGGGTCCACACCATGTGGCTGTGAAGTACAGTACCGCCAGGCGAGAAGCTCTGGATGCCGCGTTCAATTTGGTGTCGAGTTCACCGGTAGAGTGAATGCCCATGACTTGACCTGTCACGAAATAATCATCAAGGCACCACATTATCAGAGCAATTCGGTTTGGTTTCTTTCATGAAACGATTTTGGAAGTGGTTGTAGGTTTCGATGTAGTTTCTTTAATGCAAATAATCGTCGATAACCCATTTGTAGCTTTTCCTATGTATAAATGCAACTTGAGTACATGTAAATGTAATCATCACAAGGAAAACAGAACAATTACCTGCTTTTAGAGCAGACAGTGCTTCTCGTTCCTACAAAAGGTCGAAAAAATCTTGTTTAGGGTTGAGTATTGATTTCCGGATAACAAACTATGTAGCAAAACTTGAAATACGAGTAAGTTATCCAGCCTCATATCAAGAAGTTCTAACAAGCTCTTGCAATCATCAATATAGAATCCTGCCTCCAACTACTTTCTCAAGATGCTTAAAAGATCAGTTTTCTCAAACAAACACACAAGTGAAGTCAGAGTATTGTGTATGGGCGCAATCACAGAAAGTGACAGCTTGGTGGAAAAACTACGTTTCTCACACCATCAAAACACAATGATGGCAATCAAGCACACAGAGTCAAGACAAGACTCCTAAGCAAAAAGAAGTAGAAAGCAAATGGATTCCCTCGACAATGCACAAAACTTGACAGACTAACTTGATTATCATCATGATTTTCTGTCAGGTCTAAGTACTACTATGTTAAGCGAATAGATGCAAAAACAAAAGTTACCAGGGCTTCAACTTGACGCTTCTTCTCACGCTCAGCATTCCTCAAGTGTCTTTCCTTCCGAAGGCGCTCATACTTTTTGTGATGCTCTCTGATTTTGTGCACATTTGGCTCCACCTAAATAACGGAATGCATTAATAATAACCAAATTCCATACTCAAAGGGAATGGCTGAAGCAGTTTACCTTCTTCAGAATTGAACCGATTTCCTCATCAAAATCTAGCTTTGATGCAACATGAAGATCATTTGCTGCTTCTTCCCATTGCCCCAACATGGCCTTTGCCATCCCTCTTACTTTATAGGCTTTTGCTGAATCCGGGTTAATCTAGAAAACAGAATTAACATGCCGGTTTGAAAAAATCCAAACTCAAAATACAATCTACTGGCAATTTCTCACAGGGATGTAGAGAAAAAAACAGACTAACCTCCATAGCAGCACTTGCATCTCGTATTGCAGCATTTGGTTTCTTCATTTTTAAGTAGACACTACCTGTAGACAAAGAAGACAACTAAGTAAGAACTGCATGGTAATTTCCCGAACAAGAGAATCCAAACTGCAGAAGGAAAACATAAGCTTAAGACCGAATCACAACCTCTAGTTGCATACAGTATTGCCGAAGTTGGATTCAACATGACTGCATCTGTCAAATGATCTATTGCTTCACTGAACCTACCTGGAAAACGTGCAGAAATTCATTAGTACAAAACAAAAACGATTTGCAGTCAAAATGTGAAAATGGTGGTGTTAGAAGCGAGAATTCACCTTCAGAGAGAGCCTCTACAGCTTTTGCTTTCTCAACCTGAGCAGCATCCTGATTCTCTTCTGTCACTTCAACTGCAGGGTTTCCCATCTGTGACAGAGCAACACAACCAACATAAGGATGTAGTTCAAACTTTACACACAAAAGATAAAAATCCCTTCAACTAGTGAACACCTTCTGCGGAGGATCATTATCGGGCTCCATGACATCAGCGTTGTCCAATTCAACATCAGATTCAACAATATCGTCATCATTTTCACTTGGTTTGCTGGAATCTGAATCCTCCCTAGTACTAGACATTTCAGCCTCTCCTCCTGTCTCCTGCATATGCTCACATTGTTAATGTCTGAAAAAAGTCTCGAGATAAACAGAACCTAAAAGAACTAACTCGGAAACAATAGAAAGGTCTACGTGTTCAGGGGAACAACAAACACTCTAGACCATTTCAATGTGTCATTTGGCAGCGAACAAGGGTGGGTAATCCAAGGACAAATATTAAAAAGGAACTCCTAACAGTTAGACTGAAATTGAAGAATGAGCCACATAAACTGAGGATAAAAGTTCTAGCTTAAGATCCACTGCAATTAAGAGAATCTATGCTCAAGAGTTAACAAACTACGCTATCATCAGCAAAGTTGCAGCAAAATCTCATCACTCCAAAATTCAGTCCAAAACTCGGTATTCTAGCGCACACACAAGGAACTAAGAATTGCAATTCTAGCCCTGGCTAAACCCATAACTCCGTTTGAGAGCATATAATCAGACTGAACGAACCCAGGTCACAGAACCCATAAATCCAATATAAACAGCGGGACTTCTGCTCAGAATCCATACTTACCGATTTAACTTCAGGTGGCAGTTGAGCACCTAAGCTGCAGAAACCCCAACCGCAAAAAGCAGAATGGAACGCATCAAATTTCACCCATAAACAAGTGCTTGAATGAAGAAGCTAACAAAAAATGCCCAAGGGAAGGCGAAAGGAAAGAAGGGTTTACAAGAGTCGACCTTTGAAGATACGATTTGAAGAAAAGCAGAGATGGGTGGTGAAGAATACGGGGATTCGACTTGCACTCGTCGATGAACCCTCTTAGCTCGGAAACTTGAGTGGCATCCATAGCGAATTGGATTCGTTTTTGGTCAAAGGGCAATGATGTGCGCAGGAAAGAATGTAGAAAATAGGCGCTGCTGGTGGTTATTTTTCCAGTATTCGGATATTACTCTGTCCCCTGTGGCCCCTTTGCCCTTTTCTGATTCTCGTTCGTTCTGGACTTCGCTAATTCTCTGCCCAGGCGAGAGTGAGACGCAAGTTGTCAACCCGGTTTAAATCATTGACCTGATTAAGTAAGGGGTTTGAGATACAATGGACTAATGGAGTTCGGCCAGTTTAAGCCGTTGTAGACGTTTTCTAAACATAAGGTAGTCATTAAAGGTTTAAGGTTTAATTCACCTGCATAGCCATAACTTTTACGATTTTGACAAATATAGCCACTTTTTGAAAAATACACAGATATAGCCACATTTTGAAAACTCGTTTGACATAATTAGCCATTTCCGTTAAAAGTTTTAACACCGTTAACATGACACTGACGCGGATGACACCTGAGCTTCCACATCAGCTCCAACACACCAAATCATGCCACCTAGCTGCCACATCATATTTAAATTAAATTAAAATTTTATCTTTCATTTTTCACTTTCCTCCTCGAGCTCGCCTTCTTCTTCCATCTCATCCCTTCCCCATCGGCGGCCTCATCGTCCCCCGTCGGCGCCACCAGAGCTTCTCCCCTGCACTCAAATCAAATACGATTGACCCAAGACCCTTCCCCTTCCTGCATCCAAATGAGTTCTCGTCGCACACCCATCGGCCGATCCAGTCACCAACGCCTAACTTGGAGGATTTGCTAGTCTGAAATCGGCCACGAGAAACCCATAAATCGAAACCCAATGACCAACGAACCAAAAAACGGTGACTGTTGCACATTGGGTTGAAGCTTTTCTTTGAACGACGGTGGTAGATCTGGAGACCATTTTTGCTCATCTCAAAACGAGGTCATTGAAAAGCTCCTTCGAGAACAAACCCCTATCCAAGCTGTCCATCTCTTGCCAAATTAGTGCGTCGATTGGAAGGAATTGTGCGACGGTGGTTGAGTTGCGAAGGGGAATCGGTCAATTAGAGCTAAACCCGATGGTCGATGTCCTCCAACTCTCTCCAGGCTTGATTGAACAGATTCTTCGTAGTTTGAGGATAAGAAGGGGTAGGTACTGAGCGGTCGACGACTACGTGTAGTGAGATGGGAGGAATTTAGGGTTTGTGAGGCGGTGGAGCGGTGGTTGTAGAATTTGGCAGAGTAATAATGCGACAGAGGGGGCGAACTCGATGATTTCTTAACTCCATCACCGACGCGACTCCCCTGCTCCGCCGCGAGCTCCCGTGTCTGGTTCTCCTGCACTGCCCATTTCCGTTGATTTGGTTTTGGATATGGATTCCAGATTTGGGACGAAGAGGTGAAGGGGAGCATCATCGAACTATAAGAGAAGGGCACTGAAGGCAAGGAGATGGATTGGGAATAGGTGGTTGAGAGAAAGAGGATAACGGAGGCGGAAGACGGATGCCAATGTCACAGGGAAGCGGTGAGGACGAGAGAAAGAAGATGCTTATTTTTTCGTTTCTTAATTTTAGTCTATTTTTATCTAATTGTTAATTAATCCAAAAATGTATTTTTCCACTTTTTGACCAAAATATGCCACGTCAGCTGAAACTGTTAGTCTAGTCAATATTCGTACTTGGTCCGTTAAAGTTTTGGACGGAATGGCTATTTTTCTGTATTTTTCAAAAAGTGGCTATTATTGTCAAAAGCGCGAAAGTTATGGCTATGTAGGTGAATTAAACCAAGGTTTAATGACTGAAATGGAATTTATCTTATATGTGTTGGGGAAATTGTTCACGTATACTATTTTCTTGCAACACAAGCAAACACATAAGATTAAGAAAACATGCAAAGACACATGCAAGCGTCCTAGCCGATAGAATTCACTATCTCTCCTTAAAGAATCTTATTCCCCTCAAGTACCCAAGGTTGTGGAATGATTCCTCCCAGGATAGAAAGGACGTACCTTTTCCGGCGTAGCGGTACCTCAAACCCCGGAAACCATCGAACGCAGCGAAACGGCGAGAACCACACTTGACTCTATTTTCTCTTTGAAAAGAATGCAGAAAAACTAGTTTTGGATTTTGGCAGAATTTCAGTACCGGGAAAAATCCATGTAAAACTCGTAGTTAAAACAAGAGGGGGTATGGTGCTATTTATAGAAAATGAAGGGATGCATTGAAGGGAGGCAACTCTTCATATGGGTGGTTACACCCCAACCATTGCATTGGTTCGTTTAAAATATTTCAACCATTGCATTGGTTCGGCCTCATGGAAGTTGGACCGGTTTGGTTATTCCAACCGCCACATCGGTTTGGTTCGATTTGGTTCAACTCGGTTTGGTTTGGTCCATTTGGTTACACAAACCAATTTAACCAATTAACCACATATTACATCAAATCGATCGAATTCGAGGCCGTGCCTTCCCACATCTTACCAACATGGTACTTCAAGATACTCTCTTGAAACTTTCCCCTTTTATTTCCATTCACACCACTAAAAATCCCAACAATCCCCCACATGAATGGAGAATGTTGTACTTTAAAAACTATGCAAAAAATCATGTGATTCTCGACTAAGAATTAGTTGCATCGGAATAGGTAGGTTTCCCTTTGAACCTTCCTTAGTGAACATATATCGAGTATACTCACCAATCGGTAGATGTGATATCTTTGAACCATCGGTTTTTACTTTTATACTAAGACAACATATGCCACACACCTAACTCTTATCCGTTCACTGGTTCTCATTGTTGTGTTCGTTTCAGCCATGAACACCGCCTGGTCTCATGAGTGCTTAGAGAACAGGCCTTCTTTTATTCTCCTTGAAGCGGCTCCACTTCACACTCACATAGGTGATTTCTAAACATGTATTCCGAAAAGACACTATTTGATCACATCCTGTGTCAAACTTAGAAACCATTAAAAACCTTCCATCTTTAGGTTTACCCTTATAGTTGGACATTGTCTCATCATGAGAATGGACTTTGAATAATTTGACAATGTCGGACCATCAATCACAACTTTGTTTCTCCTTGAACCTAGAGGTTGGGTCTGCCAATCCTGCTTAGGTAGAGTTACCGCCATGATGATTTGTCCTAGGCCACGAGTCCATTCCCTTCGATGCTTAAATTAATTTCTAGATGGGCCCCCACGTTTGTTATCACTTGATCTAAACTGATCATCTCCGATAACTTCGCTAGAAATTAACCAATCAATAATGTTATGTTTCTACGACGAGATTTTTCACATAACACTTCTAGCCCTTGCAGTAACCATTTTGTGCACAAATGCGTTTTATTAACGCCAGTCTTTGCGGGCCAAACTACTCAACTTCACCGGTCTTAGAGTTTAACTTGGACGTTTTCCAAGATACTGCTCCTCATTAACCATAAATGCCTATCCATTAATGGATTGCCTTTTGGTTCATCCGGTGAGTTCCCTTTGGGTACAATACACCAAAGACTCGTCTCTTTTCAATTCACTACACATCTTGTGAGCTTGACTTGATTTTATTGCCTTGCAATAATCATAACACATGTCAACGGTATTGAAGTCTCTCCACTTCATTAACCTTAAAGTACTTGAGCTTCACAAGTATCTCTTTAAATGTAGTGACATTTATGACTTAGCTTAGGGTTTACGCAAATCTTCTAAGTATCACTTTCACCCAAGCGACATTCTACATTAATTTCCCCCAATTTATCCCCCACATTTCAACTATTGCGCCATAGTTGTTGAAACCAACGTTTCCAGTTTGGGGAATGTTGTTCATATACATTCATGTATAAGGTCAAAATCATCTCGTTGGGAAGAGTGGATCAACATCAATAAATATTCTAGCCTCTGACATAACGTCAATATATGCTAGAGTATACTCATAAGTTATACCCTTGGACTGGGTTAACTCCACAAGGTTTAAGGACTCTCACTTACTCATTGGACACCTTCATACTTTCAAGTATGACTTTGTTTACCTTTCCACTTTTGTCTTATGGATAGGTTTGCGTCCCACTGTAGGGTCTCGAGATAGTAGCCGAAACAATGGCTAGCTCTTCTCCCCCACAATTCTACCATTTGCCAAACATCATGGAATAATCCCATTTATTTTCCCTGGTTTTACTTATTGAACTTGCCAACCACTATATGTATCTAATTATTTACCAATGGTATGATCTCACTCGATTAGCATACCACAAACAATTAGATTTTATTAGAAAAATCATCCAATTACTTACCAATGGTATTGATCAAGGCAACTTGAGACGTCATAAGTAATTCAGATACATTCCAGTAATGGAAATCCCATCTAATTACTTTCCAATGACATTTCATCTATGTAAATATACCACAAGTAATTCAAACGAATTTCTAATTCAATTGTCTAATTCTTTTCCAATGGTATAAACTTCATAAATATACCATAGGTAATCCAGTCTTTATGTTCAATAAGATCATCTCAATTGAGCTCTCATGCCAAATTGTTTTCCAATGATATATATCTATATACACCATAAACAATTCTGTCAATGAGCTTCACATTGATAATCATAGGTCATAAACAATTCTGACCTAATGCTTATCTTGATGACAAACATCATTTGGCAAGCTTATTAAATTCCTATAAGGATCAATCATAGCTTCATTTTCCTTGCCCTCATGGCATAGGAAACATCAAGTCCTAAACCACATACATGATAAATAAATTATGATGTCTTCACAACTATCACAGGAACTAGAATTCCTTATCGCTTGTAGCTTTCTCGTAATGCAATCCTTAAACGTGCATTAACCAAATTTCATCTCCAACACATTGGAGGTATACTCTTTCAAACTATGTCCAACATACTATGAAAATTACGTTTGCAACCATTCCGGCATAGATAGACTTGACTCACAAGTCCCCACTTGCCACGCTCCATAGGTTTTACACACCTATGATTGTTCATATTCTCCCACTAGATAGTTTACTACTATCCAAACCACCGTTACTTAGAGTCCATGAAGGACTATCATAAGTACTTCCATCATCTCATGCATCACCTTGAATGAAAAAGTGACCAAATTAAATTGGAACAATTATCATTCATCCATGCCACATAATTGAGATGGACCAATTCAATAAAAGCATTAAAACTTTGTGGTTAATTTTGGAA